AAAAAAAAAAAAAAAAAAAGAATTAAATTCACGCACCAAGGTACCACTGTATTGTTCTAAACATAAGGAAAAACCCAACTATGTGTAGTAAAAATATCAAAGGCCTGACATTTATACCTTTAGGTTGTGTATTATCATAATGAAAACTAACTTTGGTATATGACAAAATATAAATGGGAAACCATTCAAGATTTGCCTTTGTAAGGTCAATCTATACTTTTATATGGATTTTAAACTTTAAAATTACAGTTCTGTGACAAGGGGTTTATAAAAGTATTCAAAACCAGAAGAGAGAAAGTGAATTTAACTTAGTAAATGCATATATGTCTAAGCACAAGATGATCATGTTATACCTTCAAAAGGACTCTGGAATTTTCATGATTCCATTTTGTGATGTTGTGTGTTGGCTTTAGTATTTTGTACCAAATATTTAGATGTAACGTTTGTGGAGATTTCTCAATGAAAAATTAGTTTTCCTTTTAAATTGGAAAAATAATCTTCCTTCCTCAGTTATGAGAAAATGAAATAACGCCTCAGGGGGAATAAATGCTGGCTTTTGTCTTTCAGACCCGAAGATTTACGGCTGTAGAATGGAATTACAGGAAACACAGAGGGGCGGCAGCTTCTTCCCCTGAGCCTGAGTCATCCAGGATGCAGGGAGAACAATGGCTGCTTCCGGTCCTTTCTGGGAGCAGCTCCGGAAGGGCGGGGCCTCGGCTAGAATTCACAGTGTGACACTTTATTTCATAAAAGTATCAATTAATTAAATGTTATAACTGATTATAATAAAATTATTTGGTTAACTGCAATTTTGCATTTGTTGAGAACACAGACGCTGAGAAAACCTTTCAATTATAAGATGGAAAAGATGGCATCCATATGGAATTTCTCAAGTTCCCGTTACTGTCCTTATCCCTGTGAACAAGCCCCACCTCCCCTCCCTCTCCTCTCCTCTCTCCTCAGCTGCTTTCCCATCTCCAGCTCAGTATGGTAAGCGTGGCCCTGAAGGGTTGACAAACCGCTGTCAGTGCTTTGTGTCCCAGGCGGGCTCTTGGTCTCCCTGCTAAGACACAGTTGTGCCTGTCTGCTGCATACAGCTCCCTGCCCAGCATGGCGATCTGGACTCCTCCACTGTGCTCCTCCTCCCTCCTGTTGGTTCTGTTCTATGTGGATGCAAGGGAGAATATCTCCAGTGAAGTATCCTCTTTAAAAATCAAGATGTTAGGACAGGGATTTAGCTCAGTGGTGCTGTCGTCTGCCTCACAAGTGCAAAGACCCGAGTTTGATCCCTGGTATGAAAAAATAAAACGATGCTGAGGGGCCAGAGATGTAGCTCTGGTGCTGTACCTGCTTGGCAAGCACAAGGTCCTTAGTTCAATCCCCTGTACCAGGGAAAAAAAAGAAGCTGAGCTATTGCTTTTGCATTGATTTTGTTGTGTTTCTTCTGCTGTCCTGGCTGATTAAGGAGTGCATTTCCAGCCATCTTTATCCATTCAGCACACACAGCCAGGCTGTGATGCCAGGCTGTGGGGTACAGCGCACAGGACTCCCCAGGGCCTGCGGTGCCTCTGAAGAGCAAGGTCCACCGTGGAGTGCAAGGGAGCTGCAGAGACCCGTACATAGGAGCGGCTGGTGCTGTGGAACGGTCAGCTCAGCTGGAGGCCCGGTAAGGTGGAAGAGTAACGGCCTTCCTGACCCACGGCCGCCGGCACCAGCTGCATACTGGGTGCCGCCCTACAAACCACTTTAATCACATCTGCCCTGTGATGGACACAAAGCAGTTCTCCCAAGACTGGCTCGCCAAGGTCCCAGCCTGCCCATCTTGGGAGGCAGCATCAGGGAGGGGCCTCTGGTCACCAGGCGCTGCCCTCAGGGCAGAGGTCCCAGCCACTCCCCTCTCCATCCAGGCCATGCGGTGAGTGGCTGGGTGCAGGGCCAGTGCAACGCCAGGGACTGTGTCCCCCACCCGCAAGCCAAAGACACCTTCCCTCTGTGAGTTGATCTGGTGTTTCGGTGCAGTAAGAGCTAACACAGGCAGAGGTGAGTGAACTGCACAGGTGAGGAGAGTGCAGCGGTGACACAGCCCGACCACTGCCTACCCAACAAGGCCAAGAAGAGTAGCCCACTGCACAGGATTCAGTGACTGCGGGAGGACACAACAGGACCACTGCAGCAGTCCCAGCGAGGCCGGAGGAAGAAGGACTTGGATTCTTACAGGGAAACTCTTCATCTGGTGCGGCAAAGACAAACTGACCTGCGTGTGCCATTACCGGGTGTGACCGTGATGGCAAATCTCAGGGGCAGAGGCCGCTCAGAGCACCGTCATACTGAGTGATTCTCTACCATAGCAGGCAACTGTGTGTTGCACTGCTGCTTTATGCCGGATAATTGTGAAAATACTGTCCAGCAGCCACGCTGCATGCACCACGGAACCCTGTATCCGAGGTTCCGACCCTGGAACTGATCCCCTCCTCCGCAGCCCCAGGGTCACACTCCCCGCCGGGCAGACACGGCCACAAGGGAGGCGCTGTGGCGGGGCCCCTGGGTGGGCCTGCTGCCAGGGTCTTTTCATCAGCAGGCATCGCCATCGCGGGGCTCAGTCGGCGCTTGGAGCACGGCAGGACACACGCAGCTTCAGAGCAGGTCTTCACAACCATCCTGTGCCTGGACTTCCATTGCTTTTATCCAGATTCCTACCGAGCCCGAGCTGTGATGGAGGAGATTCATAAATGTCTCGGTTCTGATGAACTGGGCCACGCGCCGGTCCCGAGGCCGGGGCTGACGGTAATGAAGCCGCAGTGCCATCTGCAAGTCAGGGGAGGATGTAATTTTGTTTTATGTAAAGTATTTATTGCACGTTTTCCAGCAAGTGCAGGCAAGTTACTGCTACCAGACTGACTGACTGCAGCAGCCATCGTTTACTCCCAACCCCTTCCCAGCCCGACCTAGCCGTGATCACTCTGCATGTTCCTCGTCTCCTTTCTGGGCTGCAGTTCGCTCGTTTTTCTGCCTTCCGGAAAAGAGGGTCGGCGCCGACGATGTTAAGCGTCCGGTCTTCCTCCGGGGAACAGGCAGCGGCTCTAACCCTCAGGGCCTCTGCGGCCAAGCCCTCGCCGCAGTGTGGCTTGCATCGGGCCCCAATGAAGGTGTGGGCTTTCCAAAGGGACACTGAGGCCGCCCTGCAGCTCAATGCAAGCCAGCTCTTGCAGAGAAACGCGATCTCCCTCCTCTGCCCTGACCCCACACAGAAGACCCGAGTGGTTTTGTAGCAGCGTTGCTCCTCGGGGCTCCGCTCGGGAGAAGGTGGAGCAGAGGTGTGTGACGGTCACCCGGGCGGCTCCACTCGAGGGGCAGATAACGGGCTGGTCCTAGTCAGTGGGTTCCCAGACGGTTAGACAGGAGACCGCTCCGGCACCGCGCGACATCCGCTTCTGCTTGCCGAGGTCCGCGGGGCTCCGACTTCCGGCCGGGCTCACGTGTGCGCCCACGTGTTCTGGCCTCTCCCGACT